CACATTGCAGGCTGTGAAATCTTGCTGTGCTCCATTCTGCTGCTATGGTTCCTATGTGTTCGGCCTGTATCCCTCTAAACCTTCCGTATTCACATACCTGTCTTTTAAAGGTCATTGCACCTGCCTCTACCACTTCCTCTGGCAGCTCATTCCATACATAAATACAATATAAAGAGTCTGGGCTATGGAAGGTGGGGACATCATTATATCCAACTCCCTTTTGCAGTTATGTCTCCACTATGGAGCGAGGCTGTGGTGTTGTGGTAATGTTACTGGACTAGTAATCCAGAACCACCAGGCTATTGTTCAATATACGTGGGTTCAAATCCCACCACGACAGATGGTGAAATTTGAATTCAGTAAAACTCAGGAATTCAAAGGAAAACTCAAAATCATAAAATCCCATCTGGTTCTCTAATACCTGTCAGGTGGGGAAATTACCTGGTCTGGCCTAAATGTGACTCCAGACCACGTAGCGATGTGGTTGACTCTTAGCCCCTGGTCTGGGCAATAAATGCTGGGCCTAGCTCGTGATGCCCACTTCCCATGAACAAATATAAAAAAAGGATTTAAGAGACCCCACTTCACACAACCTGTCACTGGTGTCATGCGCTTTTCAGATGTCAAAGGTGCTACAGGAATGCAGTTCTTTCTCTCCCATGTGTCCAAGCTCCTATCCTGCATGAACCAGTTCACTGAAAGCTGGTTGGGTTGACATAAGTCCACAGAGGTACATTCTTAAAATAAAACAATAAAGGGTGCTCTGGAGGAAAAAGGAAGCATGAATTCCTAAGGAAAAGTAATGCACCTCAAATAAAGTGTGATCTTGCAAAGTGATGATTTTCTCTGGCCTACATGGCCAGTCAGTCACAGGAGACCAAAAGCGAATCTGTGGACATTGCATGTTCCGTCTCCAAATGTACCTGGGTCATCTGCTCCCGTGTAAACTCTTTTAGAGCAAATCAAATAAGCAAATGAGTTAAAGAACAAATGTCGTCATGGGGTACCGCAATTTCTTTTGCAAAGTCTTAAAGTAGGAAGAAGTCCCAAAGAGAGTAAGGGACAGTGTATTCCAGAGTTTGAGAGGGTCTCATTGCCAATGGCCTCAAAGTGCTCATTGAGATAAAATCATGTGGGGCACAGATAAAGTGAATAGCCAAGGTCTTTCCCCCAGGTTGGGGGAATCCAGAACTAGAGAGAGGTTTAACGTGAGAGGGGGAAAGATTTAAAAGGGACGTGAGGGGTCTTTCACATTGAGGATGGTGTGTGTACATACTGAGCTGTCGGAGGAAGTGGTGGAGGCTGGGACAATGACAACATTTAAAGGCATCTGGATGAGCACATCAGTAGGAAATTTTGAGAGGGAACAAAAACAGAAGTTGCTGGAAAAGCTCACCAGGCCTGGCAGCATTTGTAGGGAGAAATCATAGTTAACATTTTGGGTCCAGTGACCCTTCTTCAGAACTAAGGTTTAGAAGGGTATGGGCCAAAAGCAGGCAAAAGGGACTAGTTAAGTTTGGGAAACCTGGTCGACATGGAGGAGTTGGGCTGAAGGGCCTGTTTCCTGTACGACTCTATGAGAAGCAAGGTGATTTATAAATATCTCCATCAGCTTTCCATCCTCTCCAATTCTCAGCAGTTGTCAGACAGTGATGGACCCAGGAGCTCTGCGAATTAATTACAGCCGTAGTTTATATTAACACGCACTCTGGCAAGTTCAGTGATCAGCTTGATACCACCTGAAGCTTCAAAGTCCCAGGAGACAGACTTGTCAGTTTTGGTTAGATTTGAGGCCCTTTTCTCCAGCTCATTTCCAGCTGCCCTCACTTGCTGTTGTTGCGGGGAGGGGACAGAGATCAGACCCTGGTGGGGGGAATATTTGGAGCCCCACCTGATATGGACAGACAGCACTCACACATTGACATTCAGGGCAAACTGCACAATGATGGTCTACTCTCTCCTCCCTCTGCCCAGTGCCTAAAAACAGCATCAAATCATAGAATCCAAACCCTACAGTGTAGAGGAAGGCCATTCGGCCCCCTCCTCCGAAGAGCATCCCACCCAGATTCACCTTATTCCCATAAGCCTGCATTTCTCATGGCTACCCCACCCAGCCTGCAGAGATAGTAAGAACTGCAGAAGCTGGAGTCAAGAGATAACACAGTGTGGAGCTGCAGGAACGCAGCAGGCCAGGCAGCGTCAGAGGTGCAGGAAAGTTGACATTTCAGGTCGGGTAGCCTGCACATCCCTGGACACTACGGGACAATTTCCTGTGGCCAATCTGCCCTAACCTGCACATCTTTGGACTGTGAGAGGAAACCGGAGCACCCAGAGAAAACCCATGCAGACACAGGGAGAGGGCGCAAACTCCATACAGACAGTCACCCAAGTGTGAAGTCACACCTGGGTCCCTGGAGCCATTAGGTAGCACTGCTAACCACTGAGCCACCATGCCTTCTTGTACTCCACATTCCACATCTTCCATTAGTGTAATAACAGGTCTGCTGTACCTGATGTCAGAGAAACTGTACACATCCCCCCAGCGTTAGACTGTCTGTCTGTGCCAGCGTGATATCTATGTGAGGGTAGACAGCTTGTCGGACCAGAGATAGCTCCAGAAAAAACATCAGATACCAGACATGACTCCAGACATTGGAAGGAGAAGATATCAGCTCTGCTGGTGTGAACTACAAAGAGGAATAAGAGTCTGAGATAACTTTTCAGTCTTTTCCGGTCTGATCCAACTGCAGTTTCAACTCCACTTTCCTGCCCCATCCCTGTGTGTTGTCGATTTCCCCAGTGGCCAAATATTGATCAATTTCAGCTTCGGATTTTGTCGATGAGGGAGCATCCTTATCCTTCTCTCTCCTCGCTTAAACAATCACCCCATTGAGACGGAGATGGGGGTGGAAGTTTTTTTTCCCTCTCTCTCTGAGGGTTGTGAGTCTTTAGAATTCCTTCCCTCAAAAGGTAGTGGATGCAGAATTTTTCAATTTTTTTTAAGGCAGACGTAGGTAGATTCTTGACAATGCAAGGTGATGAAGGATTATCATCATCATCATTGAATCCCTACAGTGTGGAAGCTGGCCATTCAGTCCATCAAGGTCACACTGACCCTTTGAAGAGCATCCCACCCAGACCACCCCACTACACTACCCTTGCGTTTCCTGTGACTAGCCCACCCAGCCTGCACAATATGGGCAATTTAGCATTGGCAATTCATCTAACCTGCACATCTTTGGACTGTGGGAACCTACACAGACACAGGGAGAACGCGCAAACTCCACACAGACAGTTGCCTGAGGGTGGATTCAAACCCACGTTCCTGGTGCTGTGAGGTAGCAGTGCTGACCACTGAGCCATCGTGCCACCAAGGTTCAGGGAGAAATGGGAGGTTTGGAAGGGATTTGAGGGAAGAGAGAGGCTGGTAGGGCCTGAAAAGCACTGCCTGGAAGCGGTTCCCAATTAGATTTAAAACATATTTGGATACGTAACTCATCACCTGCTGGTCTCCGGACTAAGAACTGGAATGTGGGAGTCATAGAATCATACAGCACGGAAACAGACCCTTCGGTCCAATCAGTCTGTGCTGAACATAATCCCAAACTAAACTAGTCCCACCTGCCTTCTCCTGGCCCATACCCCTCCAATCCTTTCCTATTCATGTACTTATCCAAAAGTCTGTTAAACGTTGTAACTGTACCCACATCCACCACTTCCACAGGAGGTTCATTCCACACCTGGACCACCTTCCGTGTAAAAAATTTGCCCCCAAGTCTATTTTTAAAATCCTCTCACCTTAAAAGTATGCCTCCTAGTCTTGAAATCCCCTAATGCAGGGAAAAGACAACTACCATTAACTTAATCTGTACCCCTGATTATTGTATAAACTTCTACAAGGTTACCTCTCAACCTCCTACACTCCCGTGGATGGAAGGGAGGCTATCCAGCCTGTCTTTACAGCTCAAACCTTCCACACTCAGCAACGTCCTGGTAACCATGGAGTTGAAGGGCCAAATGTCCTCCTTTCTCCAACGCCCCCACCGATTGCTATCTCCTCTGAACACTCAGCTGAAAGAAGGTAAGAGCTGATAAGACAGGTAGAGTTGCAGAAAACAGCTTTATTCTGCCAGACACATTGCAGTTGGTAACACTCAGATATTGAATGCAGTGTTGTCCGTGTTGAACAACATCCAAGCAAACAGGAGAAGGAGTTAGGTACAATCAGTTGGAGTACGGCTGTGTGAGATTCCTGGCCACCCCCTTTTCTTCAATCACCCTTAAAATCTGCCTTTGAGTCCGTCCCTGAGGTCAGACCCGGATACAAGTCCACCCATTAAAAGTGCATCAGGGTCTTGCGCAGTTGTCTGTGGTAGGACTAGGATTGGACTGACCCAAGGAAGGACCAGAGTTCAATCTGGTCTTGCGTTGCCAGTCGGTCTAAACAAAAGATAGATGGGGTTGCCACGTGATCACCGAGTGGGTCACGGAAATTGATGATGGTGGCATCAGCCGGAACATTGATGCAAGGGCTTCCATCGATAAATGGGGCACTGCCCACACAAAGCCTCCTTGTGGCGGGGAAGTCAGTGGCCGATAGCGGCGCGGGCGATATTGACCTAGATAGTCAATGGCGAGATGGGCGCGCCGACATTGCCACAATCACCGTGAATTGGGAAGCACCGGAGCCAAGGATATACTGGCGCCATTGCTGGTGTTAATGCCATTAGGAGCCACCGAGAGGGCCACGTGCATGAAGGGGACCGGTGACATCTCTTAACCCCAAACCTTTCCCTTCAACATCAACACAAAAAAAGGAACCTATCGTGATGTTTACAATCTTCATCAGGCACCGTCCGCAAGTCTTGTTGACTGGGCTCAGGATCCTAAGATGAACTGTTACACTCCTGCCTAACACAGTAGTCGTCACCCCCTCCTCCGATACTGCTGGCACCAAGCTCAGAAACGCAGGACTTTAACACAATGAGCACGAGACAGAGCACAGAGATTTGCTTTATTTTAAGTCACGACTGGCCACTGATAGTTTTGAACTCTCTCCGAACTGCTTGAACAATCATTTTTGTCGGGTTAAGGTGGACAGTTTGCATCAAGCTGCTTGGTTTCCATCTCAACCAACTCGATGTTGACCATATCACAGCAAATGATAAAAATAATGTAGGCACAGGCGGGCTACCATAATGGAGAGGATAGAAATCACATGCAAATATAATTTACTCTGTAAACTTGCGAGAACATTCCAAGATCAATTCAGGTGCACAAGATTTCTTGCTTGGAGGTTCCTGTTTTAGGTTATACATGACAAGATCTGAAAATAGAGGGAAACCGTCAAAGAACAACAATGCACATTTGTACAGTGCCTTCAACAGGCCTGTCCCAGGCTGCTTCACAAAATATAATTTGACATAGAGCCAGAACAAGGAGATATTGGTGTGCAAAAGCTTGGCTCAGTTTGTGGAACATCAGGAAGGCAGAGAGCGAGAAGAAGATAGGAAGAGAAGTGTTGGGTAAGTCAAAACTCTTATATTTTTTAAAAAAAAGTTCATAATTGGGACTAGGAAGACAGTAAAACAGTCCCTACAATGAATGATTCTTTTGCTGATCAGAACACTGCTTCTCGGTCTGCCTACAGGAGGCACGGAGTGACTGGTTCTCACTTGTAAAAGTTTCTGACTTACTTATTAAAAAGTATAGCTGGCAGAGGAGGGGCAATAAACTGGATTTCTTCAGGTTTGTGATATTTCTTAGCGCACAGCCCCTGTTCCTTCAGAGATCCAATGTCTTCTGACTAACCTACTCAAATCTCCAAGCTGTTCAACTATCAGATGCATGGTTTTATTGGCAAACAAGAGGTCTTTGGCATGTAGAACTGCTCACAGGTCCAGAAGTCAACCTGGTTCATTGCTGCCAGCTCAAACCTTATTCATACACAACCCTCCCCCCGGACGAACTCCAGTTTATTTACAGTGATGCTCTCCCACTACTTAACCACACAGCAGCGTAAGCAATGCTGCCAATGAGGGTCAGGACACTTGCTTTCTAATAGAAACAAAAAATGCAACAATCCTTGCTTTGCATAGAATAGAGTCCCTAGAGTGTGGAAGCAGGCCGCTTGGCCCATCAAGTCCACACTGACCCTCCGAAGTGTGTCCTGTCCAGACCCAGTCCCCCCACCCTATCCCTGCAACCCTGCATTTCCCATGCCTAACCTGCCCAGCCTGCACATCCCTGAACACTACAGGACAATTTAGCACGGCCAATCTGACTAAATTGAGCATTTTTGGATTGTAGGAAGAAACCGGAGCACCTGGAGGAAACCCATACAGACACAGGGAGAATGTGCAAACTCCACACAGACAGTTGCCCGAGCATCAGATTGTCCACCATTTGCTAGGCACAAGTCAGGAGTATGATGGAATATTCCCCCACTTGCCTGGATGGGTGCAGCTCCAACAACTTTCAAAAAGCTTGACATCACGGAGGACAAAGCAGCCCCCGCTTGATTGGCACCACATCCACAAACATCCCTCCATGCTCAGTAGCAGCAGTGTGTACTGTCTACAAGATGCTCTGCAGAAATTCAGTAAAGGTCTTCAGACAGCGCCTTCCAAATCCATGACCACTTCCATCCAGAAGGACAAGGGCAGAGAATACATGGGAACGCCACCCCCTGCAAGTTCCCCTCCAAGCCATTCCCCATCCTGACTTGGAAATATATCGGCCATTGCTTCAGTGCTGCTGGGTCAAAATCCTGGAACTCCCTCCCTAAAGGCGCTATGCGGGTGTCTGTACACCACATCTGACTGCAGGGGTTCAAGAAGGCAGCTCACTCTTACCTTCTCAAGGGGCAATTAGGGACAGGCAATGATTACCCTAACACAGGATGGAGGTCTGAGGGTAGTCAGATGAGAGGAGTAGGGAGAGGAGGGGTACAATAACACAATATTTCTTGATTTGTTACTGACCTGGTGCATTTTGAATCCCATCAACTGAACAGAGGGACAAAGGCCAATCCCATTAGCAGAAGAATGCAGGGTATAGTTGTGGCTTCAGCTGCATCTGTGAAAAACCATACCCCCCCAGAAAAACCCAAAGGATTCATTAGTTTCTGGTCTCATCCTTCAGCCTGCACCCCCTTCCCCTTCCCAGTAAACCCATCCCTTCAAACAGCATCATTCACAACCTCCTGCGCTCCCGCCAACCCCTCTCCAATGCACTGTCCCTCATCATCGACTCAGCCCCAAAGTGGGGATGAGGTGAGGGTGGACGAGGGATTGGAGAAGTTTAGGTCGCAAGAGAGGGAGGAGGAAGGGACGGGGAGAGAGATAGGGGAAAGAGAGAAAGAAAGAGAGGGAAAATGAGGGGAGAGGAATGAGAGAGAGGAGGGAGAGTGGAAGAGAGATGGGGCAAGAGAGAAAGATGAAAGAAAGAAAGAGAGAAAGGAAGAGAGAGAATTGGAGGAGGGGGGAACAAGAGAGAGGGAAGGAGTGTGGAAGAGAGATAGAGGGAGGAGAGAAGAACAGAAAGGAAAAAGGAAGAGGGGGGAATGAAAGAGAGGGAGGAAGGGGGAAAGGAGAGGAAAGAGAGAAAGGAAGAGATAGAAAAAGAGGATGTGGGATCAAGAGACAAGGAGGGTGTGTGGAAGAAAAATAGAAGGGGAGGAGTGGGGGAATAAGAGAGAGAGGAGGGAGAGAGAGGAAAGAGATATGCTGACTGGGATTCCTATACTAAACTAGTCCAATTTGCCAGCATTTGGCCCATATCCCTCGAAACTCTTCCCGTTCATGTACCCATTCAGATGCCTTTTAAATGTTGTAATTGCACCAACCTCCACCACTTCCCCTGCAGCTCATTCCATACACACACCACCCTCTGTGTGAAAATGTTGCCCCTCAAGTCCCTTTCCCCTCTTACCTTAAACCTATGCCTTACAATTTTAGAGTAACCTACCCTGGGGGGGAAAAGATCTTGGTTATTCACCCTACCCCTGCCCCTCATGATTTTATAAACCCCTATAAGGTCACCCCTCAGCCTCCGGCCCTCCAGTGAAAATGTCCCAGCCTATCCAGCATCCCCTTATAACACAAACCCTCCAGTCCCAGTAACATCCTTCCAAATCCTTTCAGTTCCCTTTCTAATTCAATCATATCCTAAAGCAGGGTGACCAGAATTGTACACAGTTACTACAAATGTGGCCTCTCCAAAGTCTTGTACAGCCATAACATGACATCCCAACTTTTTAAAAAGTTCATGAACAGGATGAGGGCATGACTGGCTAAGGCAGCATTTATCGCCCAGAGGCCAGTTGAGAGTCGACCACATTGCCGTGGGACTGGAGTCACGTGTCAGCCAGACCATGTAAGGATGGCAGTTTTCTTCCCTAAAGGGTATTAGTGAACCAGATGGGTTTTCCCCTGATAATCGACAACGGATTCATGGTCATCGTTGGATTCTTAATTCCAGATATTTTATTGAATTCAAATTCCACCATCTGCTGTGGCAGGATTCAAACCTACGTCCCCAGAACTTGCTGGATTAACAGTCCAGTGATAATACCACTAGGCCATTGCTTCCCCTAGTCCTGTCCTCAATGCTCTGATCAATGGAGGCAAGTGTGCCAAACACTTTCTTCACCTCCCTGCCTACTTCTGATCCACTTTCAAGGAACTATGTATCTGCAACCCAAGGTTTCTCTGTTTGACAGCACTCCCCAGGGCTCTATCATTAACTGTGTAAGTCCTGCCCTGGTGTATCTTACTAAAATGCAACATCTCCCATTTATCCGAATTCAACTCCATTTGCCATTCCTCAGTGCCTCCCCCCTTCCCATCCCAGCCCAAGGGGGACTCCCTCCTTCAGGTGGACAGGACAGAAACGGGGCAATGCTTCTCGTAGTCAAATGGCCAGGGGAATTCCTCACCTGAGGTGACAGTCAGCTTGAAGTCCATGCAGACATTGGAAGCGTGGGGCCTCTGGGTGACCACGTGGCACTCGTAATCCCCGGCATCACTCATCGACACCTGGGTCAGGGTGAGCGACAGGTCTTTCTTCTCGAACCAATCAGCCGGCAGGGAGGTGCGCCCGGAGAACTCTTTGTCCTGGTTCACATTCTCCGTGCCCATGTCGCGCACGTGGACCACCAACGAGCTGCCGTGCTCGGACTTCTTCTGCCACAGCGCCCGTCGGGACTCGGGCATCGACCCCAACCAGTTAAACATGCATGGCATCACCACCGACCCTCCGACCTGCACAATCATCTCTCCACTCTTTGGAGGGCAGCTCAGCGGGTCTGGGGCAGAAACAAAATTAAAAATAAGAACATTCACGGCCTCAAAAACATTTTTGAAAAGCAAGTAGGCTGACACCTGTTATGAACTGGACCAGACTCCTGCAAAATATTTTAAGAAGATAGCTTAGACCCTAAATTTTTCTTATTTTAAAGGTAGATGTGAAGTGCCCTGTTCCAGATATGATTCATCAGGTAAAACTACTCGACGTTAAGCAAAACACTGTCTATTTCAACGCTGTAGTTAAAATACAAACTAAAGAAAGAGGAATTTAGAATAACAACTCTATTGGAAACTTAATCAAATTATAAATACAGTAACTATTACTAATTAACTGTTCCAATATAGTAACATCCCATAAATGTACCCCTGGGCAAAAATGGAAAATTCAGTCACGGATTCTCACAGGCAGTTCTTCAATCCAGGAGTTACAGTGTCATACAGCACAGAAACAACCAGTCCATGCCGGCCATAATCCCAAACTAAACTAGTCCCACCTGCCTGCTCCTGGCCCATATCTCTCCAAATTGTTCCTATTCATGTACCTATCTAAATACCTTTTAATTGCTGTAATTGTACCCGCATCCATCACTTCCTCAGGAAGTCCATTCCACACATGAACAACTCTCTGTGTAAAAAAAAAAATGCCTCTCATGTCTTCTTCAAATCTCTCTCCACTCATTTTAAGACTATGCGCCCTAGTCTTCAAATACTCCATCCCGGAGAAGAGACAACTACCATTAACTCTATCTATACCCCTCTATTTTTCCACTGCTAAAGGGTCGCCTCTCAACCTCCTGACGCTTCAGTAAGGGAAGTCCCAGCCTGCTGCATTTTGGAAAGGTAAATCAGGGCAGGACTTGTACACTTCATGGTAATGTTCTGGCAAGTGTTGCTGAACAGAGACCTTGGAGTGCAGGTTCATAGTTCCTTGGGTGGTGAAGAAGGTGTTTGGTACACTTGTCTTTATTGGTCAGTGCATTGAGTATCGGAGTTGGGAGGTCATGTTGCAGCTGTACAGGACATTGCTAAGACCACTTTCGGAATACTGTGTGCAATCCTGGTCTCCCTGCTATAGGAAGGATGTAGTGAAACTTGAAAAGGTTCAGAAAAGATTTTCAAGGATGTTGCCAGGGTTGGAGGGTTTGAGTTATAGGGAGGGGCTGAATTGGCTGGGGCTATTTTCCCTGGAGCATCGGAGGCTGAGGGGTGACCTTATAGAGGTTTATAAAATCATGAGGGGCATGGATAGGGTAAATAGCCAAGGTCTTTTCCCCAGGGTGGGGGAGTCCAAAACTAGAGGGTGTAGGTTTAAGGTGAGAGGGGAAAGATTTAAAAGAGACCCAAAGGGGCAACACTTTCACACAGAGGGTGGTGCATGTATGGAATGAGCTGCCAGAGGAAGTGATGGAGGCTGGTACAGTTAAAACATTTAAAAGGCATCTGGATGGGGACATGAATAGGAAGGATTTAGAGGGAACAAAAACAAAGTTGCTGGAAAAGCTCAGCAGGTCTGACAGCATCTGTGGAGGAGAAAGCAGAGTTAACGTTTCGGGTCCGGTGACCCTTCCTGATTTACAGCATCCACAGTTCTTTTGGTTTTTATTTAGGATTTAGAGGGGTATGGGCCAAATGCTGGCAAATGGGACTAGATTGATTTCCAATATCTGGTCATCATGGATGAGTTGGACTGAAGGTTTCTGTGCTGTATATCTCTATGACTCTATGACTCTATCCATCCTTTCTTTATAACACAAGTCTTCTATAGATGGCAACATCCTGGAAAAAACATCAACAGAAAGTTCAGAGAGAGTCATAAAGATCATCTCAACAATAGAACTTGGAATGGAGATGACTGAACTGTCTTTTTTGTCTTTCCATTCTTTCCATAACCTACTTTACCATGGCTGTTTGTGTGTGTGTGTAAGGAGGAGTTTATTTGAGATTTAATTGGTAGTGTTATGTGGTTTACAATAACATATTGTTTATTTAACTCCGACAGTCTATGATGCATTATGTCTGGCTAAAATCTACTTATGTGCACTAAACAGTGATTCCAGTTTGCTATAGAAACCTAATCTGTGCGTTTGAGTCTGAGAGTCAGGTAAATTTGAGAACTTGGTGTTCTTTTAAAAAAGTCTGTAACTTTTGCGATAAATCTGGAAGAGCAGAGTTTGATTTCCATCTTGCTATCCCAGTGAGGTGTAAGAAATTATTAATACTCTCTCACATACTCAAATGTACTCTCTCTCGCATATTCATACTCTGCTCGTGAATGGATGTCGATTGTCAGATAAACCCGTCCTGTTCACTAATGCCCCTTAGGGGAAGGAAGTCTCCCGTCCTTACCTGGTCTGGCCTATGCATGACTCCAAACTCCAAACAGTCAATGTGATTGTCTCTTAGCTGTCCTCTGAAATGGCCAACTCATTTGTGCCATTCCGTTATAAAGTCTCGGAAAGGGAATGAAACTAAACGGATCCCATGGCACTGGAAAAGATGACAGAAACAGCCCCTTCAACCCTGCAAAGTCCTCCTTATTAACATTTACAGGCTAGCGCCAAAATTGAGGGACTTGTCTCACAGACTAGTCAAGCAATAGCCTGAAGTAGGCACACTCACAGAATTTTCAGAGAATCACCATAGTGTGGTAGCAGGCCATGTGGCCCATCAGGTCCACACCGGCCCTCTGAAGACCAGATCCACTCCCCTCTCCTATCCCTGTAACCCTGCCTTTCTCATGGCTAATCCATCTAACCTACGCATCCCTGGACACTTTGGGCAATTCATCATGACCATTCCACCTAACCTGTATATCTTTGGACTGTGGGAGGAAATCAGAGCACCCAGAGGAAATCCAAGCAAACATTGGGAGAACATGCAAACTCCATACACAGTCACCCAAGGGTGGGATAAAACCCTGGTGCTTTGAGGCAGCAGTGCCAACCACTGAGCCACCACGCCGTCCTCAATCTTACCAACGTCTCCTTATTACGCAAACTCTCCATTCCCGGCAACATCCTGGTAAATGTCTTCTGAACCCTCTTCAGTTTAATCATATCCTTCCTTTAACAGGGCGACCAGAACTGGACGCAATACTCCAGAAGAGACCTCACCAATATCCTTACATGCGTTATTGTAAGGGTGGCCCATGTTTGAAAGACAAAATGGCTGACAAGAGAGAAGCAGAATAAAACAGCCTGCTCCAGTATTTAAGTGAAAAATAACAGTAACCATGAACAGGGCTACTCCAAGGTGAATGGGAGGCCCCGCAAGTAACCATCGATACAGCTTGATAAGGAGGATGCCTAAGGATAGACAAGCAATTGATTCCAGCCTCATTAATGAAAGGATGTTGCCTCATTAAGTGAACAGCACCGGTTAGAATAAGGGGTATAAATCTCAGCCTATGAACCAGCCAACCTACCCCATTAAGCAGCTGTGAAAACAATAGCTGAAGTTATCTTGTAGTCATTGGTTGTTTCCTCGAAGTTATTCACAATATTAAGAAATGGGCTCTTGTTAAAGATTCTTCAGATGCTCATAGGGATAGATTTCAACATATTTGTTGAGACATATATAACTAAATTATAATAGAAGCATTAGGGGAAAAACATTTCAATGTTAATGTGAAAGTTAATTAGTCTCAGGAAATGCTTTGTCTTATCTCTAAAAGGATGCTTGGTACACCCTGAACAAAAATAGATTGTTTGCAACTTATTAGTTACAAAGTGCGAACAGTAGAAGTAGCTGTATAACTTTACAATTTATGACTAACTTCATAACAGAAATTAATATTATGAATCTTATAGCAGTTGGTTGAAACAAACTGTCTTTTGTATTTTTATATATATAAAATTGGGACAGTGGAAAATATAAGCAGAATAACTGAATTTGATAGAGATAGCACATGGAATACAATGAAAACAGAATTCAAGTAGTCCTTGGAGATAAGCAAGTCTGGGACAGATCAGAAGGAGTATAACCATTAACTTTGGAATGCTAATTAATAGGATGCATAGAAAGATCCCAAGGCCTGGCGATTACAATATCTGCTACACACCATGAGACCGTGGGAACCTGGGGCTGTCCATAGGAATGCCCATCATTCATCAAGTGTTTCACAGGGTTGGGTGTATGGAATAGGAGGGAAGGATGCAGCGACCATGCTGTGTGTGATTATTCTAACACAAGTTGTATAAAAGAGCTGTACTTCACTGTAAAAATCAGAGAGTGTCATTGATCTCTCTTCCTATCTGAGCTGTAGATTAAGAGAACGACTGGGTTCTCACGTCAAGGCCAGAGTCAGGAAAGATCCCTTGGCCCTCCCCTTGCATTAACTGGTCATTGCTCGAATAAGGGTCAGTCACTTGCCTGAATCCTTCCTGCCTCCTGAGTCTTTGTCCCTGGTGGGGCTGGGGGTACGATCCTACAGACTGGTGCTCCGAGCAGGGTGCTCCACTTGAAGCCGGCATACCCTAGGACACGACTTGGGTGAGTATGTTCATTTACCACCCTTTCTAGCTAGCGTGGCACTTGGTGTGGGAGCGACTGTAAGCCGGAGCATCAAATGAACGCATTAATTGGAGCGAGCAGGAGGAGACAGAATAATGGGTGTGGTGGTGAGTTGTGTCCGGTGCGACAGGGCGTAGAAAAGAGCAGGGCAGAGACTTCGCGCGTCAAAGGCATGTGAGAGAGTTCAAGAGGTTGAAAATCCTCAGGCAATAAAAAAAACAGAAGCAGCTGACATGGTTGGGAGGGAGTCTGGGAGAATGGCAAAGGACTGGCAGAATAAATTCCGCTGGGGTCCAGAACATTTCATTCTGCAGACTGCGTTTGAGGAAAATAAAGCCTGAATTAATTAAGTGCAGGGAAAGAAATGAACACTGAAAGCACTGAGTCAGAACAGAAAGCCTGGTGGCTAGGTCAGCAGAAAGAAAGGGACCAAAGGGTTAATCATTCTTATGATAACACAGTGTGGAGCTGGAGGAACAAGGC